GTGACATGCCGGTGGAGTTTCGGAAACACAGTCAGGGAGGAAGGAAGGAGCCAATGAACTGGAAACTGAGGTGAGACTTGCAGGCAGATGCCCTTGGATGAGCCCTGCAGAAAGGTCTGGAAGGCCAGAGACCTGGCATGCTTGCTGGGATTCATCATACGACTCTTTGACTAGAAATAGGGAAAGAAAAGATGTTTGAATGGCTTGATGAGCAAATAACTGATAAGAAAACAAAAATTTTGAATCTAAGCATGGATAGGATTGATGATTGTTAGATACTTTTTAATTTATTTTTTGGGTGATGTTCTATTTCTCTTTTTTATTTTTACCTTGGGGTTATATTGGTATAATGTGTTGTATATTAAGGAGCTGTTTTTGAAAGCTGTGCCCATTGGAGTGCAGCAACTCTACCCGTGCTTCAGCAGTACCCAGTTACTGCAGGTTAGCTGGGGCATATGCTACCTACTGTTGATGGTGTAATCAAGGCACAAACTCTAGTTCTCTTAGTACATAACAAATCCCTGAATGTAGCTTATATGCACTGGCCTTACATATTCATCTAATGAATTAATATGCATTTACTGTTTTGTTATGTACTCACGGTTAATTTCATAAGAATTCACAGTGACAGCTTGGTGAGATGGTTCGACAGTTGAGTGCTTAATGAGTTAAATTCCCAGAACTCAGGGATTCAGTTTCAGTGTCTCTGGTCTTTTTGGGCACCTGCATGTCCATGCGTGCACACACACACACACACACACACCCCATTAAAATAAATGTTATAAAATTTGGCACGGCAACAGAACTTTTACCATTAGCCATTATAGACCCATAATTTCTATACACAAAAAAAGCCTTTTAAAGCCCTTATAAAAGAACTACAGGAGAACCCAAGGTTCATGATATTTCCTGAAAGTAATATAATGTAAAACATAGCTTTATTACCATTTTGTAAGTGATTAGATGCTATTAAGTGGTTGATCTTATGTTGACTTTATCAAATTCATCTTATGGACTAAACAATGTGTCACGTGTTACTGGAATAACCCCTATAGTAATAAATAACTGTTTTTGCAGAGAGTTTGGCTTTCCCTGAGAGTAGTGTAAAAGTGGCTCAGGGCTCTCTATTCAGATAGATAAAAAGTTTTCTAGAAACATCTACAAAAACATTAAATGTATATATATTTTTAACAATAATGTAAAATTTATCACACCCTTAGAGTCAGTTTTGAGATCAGCTGTTATCCAATATTGCCATTTGTTGACTCTATCTTAAATGCCCTCCATAGACACTTCATGAACAATTTGCATAAATTAGCTTTATGAAATAGTATAATAGAAGATAGAAAATAGATTGATTTTTAAAACTTATTTGGATAAATGATATTTCTTGGTTCATTTAAGTATTCTTTTCAATAATTATGAATTTTGGCTATCTCTGAGTCTAAATAACACAAACTATTCTTTGCTGTGACTTTGTTTTTGGACAGTTACATAAACTGAATGAAATCAGCTCCTTTAGGTTTCCCAGGAAGAAACAGTGAATTGAATTTTATAAAGTTACTTTCATGTTCAGATCAAACAAGATCATGAATGTTGAGGTAATCCTTTACTATGTTAATAAAACTTCCTGAAATTTCTAACTCAATTCCAAAATACATGGCTAGAAAAGGAAAGAAAATATTTACTGCTTATAACTTCCCTGAATTAAGTGCTGTATGCCATAAATGAGCAGAAATCAAAATTTATTGCATTCACTGTTCTATTAATAAATTTCTACCTCCTACTAAACACAGGTAACAAAGAACTTGTTATGTGTTTTCATGCAATGCTCAGGGTATAAAAGAGTGCTAGATTCCAACAGTTCTCTAAAGGTAATCTTTATCTACCTAATTCCAGGCTTCACAGGTAACCAGGCACAATAGCACAGAGGCTCAGAGGAGCATAGCCCTGAGCAGACTGAAATGGTTTGAACCTTGGAGCCTCACCCGATCTTGGAAAGGTTTGACATTTTAAAAGTCAAGTGTTATAGCCAAATGGTTTGTTTGTTTGTTTGTTTTCCAGAAAGGTGATTTGGAAAGAACGATGAAGAGTAATTCAGATTGGTAGAGGAAGTGATTCTACCTCGTGTTTGGGGTCTGGGTACCAAGAATGCAATGATGATAGAGAAGTGGCCTTTCAGGCAACAAAACAGGCTTTCAGGGATTGCCAGTAATGTTGTGTATGTACCACATGTCAGTAGAAAACTGACACCTGTGATGTCACACTCAAGTTTTTGGTGGAGTTATTTACAGAGTGGAAAAAGAAATCAATTCATCTCAAAGAGACACAATGTTTTATCAAATAAATATGTGACCATTACTGCCTGTTGCTTATTAAGGGAACAGCCCTTTTCAAGCCTGAGTTTTCTAATTGCTGCAGCAGGCTTGAGAACATTTGCTGCAGCTGATGGAAGGCCATATACCTAAATCAAAATTTATTCTCCTTCCGTACTCGGGAGGTCTTTTAATTTAGGTAAAGGAACCGATGAAAGTGATTGTGCTTTCCGATCAGAATAGGATCACATAAACCAGTTCATATTATATGAGGGTTGCTGACTGTCATTTCCAAAAGTATCGACCCACATACCCAGCTATCCTGGGACGAATGAAGCCTGACAGCCACAGGGTGGAAATATCCTTTATGAATGGGAACCTTTTGCATATTATTTAATTTTATGGTTATTTTAATAAAGCATTAATTATACAGGAAACTATACATTCTGGGGAAATATATTGTTAGTAATGATGTCAGCAACATGTAGCAGTACATCCATGAAACCGTAACCAGAGAAGCCATCTTATCTTTTAAACTGATCTTACAGAGTTTATCTTATGATAGTGCTGCAAAGCCTACAGAGTACGATCCTAGTCTGTGTTTGATAAGATACCACCGTTGAAAGGATCCATGGAGTGGCAAAAAAGGGATTTGACTAGCTGTTGTACTCTTTGATCTAAAAATTATCTCAGATAGGTTTTTTTCCCCACATACATAGTTTTTAAGTCATTTGTCTGTTCAGATTAGAGTATTCTTTTGAATAACAGTTTAAGCAAAAGGGATCAGCAATACACAAACTGAGCTCCCTTCAACTTCACAGCAGAATGTGTGCTGTGGGAATTTTATTTAGGTTTAGTTTTATGATGTTTTCTATGAAATAAAAGAAGAGTAAGTAATAAATTCACAATATTTCCAAGTACTCAGCATAATGAAGTAGGTCTGCATTATCAGTTAAGATAACCCCAAAGCTACATCAGAAGTGTTGACCAGAAAAAACTAGAAAAATAGTTTCCTTTTCAGAAGCCAATTTTACAGACACTAGAATTTCCATCAAATGGTATGTTGCCTCATTAGGACTGATTATTTTATGATATCATATACTACACCTCTTTCACATCCATAAAAACTCACATACGAGAAGTCTGTTTTAAAAAAAAAAAAAGAACAAATCAGAATGGAGGATTTACAAATGTCAGGGAACATTTGCTCTATCTCTGTGGGGCAAGGTTTACGGGGAATTTCACGTTCCCAAACTTTAGACTGCTTTTGTTCAGTCTTGACCCCCAAGTTTATCCCCAGTAGAGATGTGAAGAATATCAGTTCTAGAGGGGAAAGGGATGATATAGTATTGGAGACCTTAAAAAGTGTTCTTTTAATGTTTGTTTATCCTAGTTAGAAACATATGTTGCTTCTTTGGGTTAGCACTGTGGGCCTGGCATGTGAACTATTTCTATAGCTTTATGCTATTTAAACCTCTTTGTTCATTATTTAAAAAAGAAAAAACCCAAGTTTTTCCTCATAATGATAGGTGAATAATGTAGGAATAATTAATATTTATTTAGTCCTTTGACTTTATAATAACTTCATTAATATAAAAAAGCAATCTTTTCACAGAATCTCGAGACTGCTAAAATAGGCATTAAGCCCCATGCAAATGTCAATCACTAAGGTGAATGCAGAATTACCTGGCTATGTCCTGTTCATCTTTATCATAATATTCAATTTAAAGATAACCATTTTTCACTGACAGATAAGGGCTCATCAGTGTTTCAACAAACATATACATTTCCTAGTGTTCTATGAGAGAAAGCAAATGCGTGGAGAATTTGTAAAAGCTTGAATATAGTAACAAGTATTTGAGATTTAGTGAGCTTTTAATTCCTTACGCATTTCAGCATTTCCACCTTAGGTGAAAAACATACTCCCCACATGTGTGTGTGTGAATACACACACACACACACATATATACACATACAGATATATGTATATACATATATACACACACCACAAACACACACACACACACATATATATGTACATATACATATACATGTATGTGTGTGTGCGTACATATATATGAGTTTGTAACCACTTATTCTGTGGGTGTAATGTTTTATAGCTTCTGAAAAATTCAGCTACATGCTTCCAGGCACAAAGATCTTCCTTGAGTTACTAGACTTTCATTCTAGTCAAGAAAGAAATGGAAACTGACAAGACTTTTAACAAGCTTATTGCCTCTGTTGGACCCTGGCAGGGATGGCAGGAGAGAGCTGGCTTTGGATCAGCTTTAGAGAGCAGAGACTGACCAGGACTCCAGAGAAAAAGGGAGTGGGTGGGTAGCCCTTTGTATGTTTCTTAGCCAGCATAGTGACTAAACAACAGAGAAAAAGAAGGCAAAACAAATTTTCCTTGGAGCACGAATGCTAACATTAGTTCAGTCATTCCAGCTGATTGTGTACTTGGAATGATAGATTTTCACAGCACTTATTTGCCATCTGCTGTCCCTTCAGATGTCCAATGCCAGGGAGTCAGGGCTGGAGAGAGGTCTTGTGAACAGAAACTGGTTCACAGTTCCTGTACCATTAAAATCCATTGGGTCGTCATTTGTTTTATAGTGGTACCGACTACTTGCCCCATTTTGTTCCCCTCTCCGTGCCTCACTCCTCCTCCCCTCCTCCCCTTACCTGTCCACTGCAATGGCTGTCATAGAGTAGATGCTGGCAAACACCGCTGTGATGGGAAAGAAGTTCTGGAAGCGGCAGTAGTTGGCGCCAAAGTACCACTCACTATGAAGACCATAGATGAAATTGACCAAGGTGTTGAAGGCAGCCACGGAGGCGTCGGAGAAAGCCAGGTTTACCAGGAAATAGTTGGTGACCGTTCTCATGCGCTTGTGGGCTAAGATGATCCAGATAACGATGATGTTTCCGAAGACTGCCACGGCCACCACCAAGCCATAGGCCAGCGACCAGAGCGCAATCCGCCAGGACGGCTGCACGAACTGGTTTGTCAGGTTGGCCCGGACCTGGGAAGGTGCCTGGGATGGTGCTGGCAACCCCAGCGCCGAAGAGAAGTTGCCAGCTTGGAGCGCAAGCCACTCAGTGAGCCCCAGCGCGGCGCTCAGATTCCCTTTGTGGGTCCCCAGTCCCACCGTCCCGTCGGTCCAGTTTTCGCCCATGGGGAGTGAGGCCATGGCCATAGTCTGCAGCCTGGGACTGGCCACACTCAGGCGGCCAGCAGGAGCCGGTTCCCTTGAAGTTCTTCACCCCCTGGGCACGTTGTTTTTTGGGTACCACCTGGCAACCGGCAGTTATGGTACCGCCCCCTGCGATGCTGTGATGGGGCAAAGGCTGAAGAGCTGGAGCCTCACTTACTCCTGGGAGTTTGCAGCTCTGCTGGGCAGAAAAGAACCGGAGACTCTCCTTGCTTGGATCCTGCCTGGGAGGAGCTCCCAGGCAGCAGCTGGAGAGCGGAGATCTGCGCTGAAGGCGCGCTTTATAGTCTCCAGGAGTCCCCAGCTTCCATGACGTTGCCCCATCGCAAGGCTGACGGAACACCTCCTCCCTTTCTCCCCACCCCGCAAGCTCCTGGTCTTCGCTTCTCTAGCCTACACTCTGGGTTTCATGCCTTCTCTGCTCCTCTCCTGGCAGCTGCCAGCTGATGGCACAGGAAAGATATGCTTTCTTCCCAATCTTCCCAACACAGTCTTCTCTCTTTTAACTTTAGGGCTTTGCTCTTAGTTTTACAGTAAGATCTATTTTCCTGAAACAACTGACTGTTCACTAGAAGGCAAGATGACAGGTGAATTTGGGGACAGTGTATAGGAATGCCTCAGCCAACTGAGACACTTCTGTGTCTCTGGCTTTGGGATTTAATTCAACATTTGGATCCTGTTTTTATTTCCAGTCGCAGATTCCTTTTCTTGCTCCCACTTTCAGTGTCTATCCACTCCTAACCCTTGTCACTGGAAATCCGCACCACCCTCCCCGCCCCTTTGCTTTTAGTCCTCTCAAATGGATCCTCATTTCTCTCCTGGAGGATTCTTCTCAGATTAGAATGTCCCCAGCACTCAGAATGTAAACCAGGGATGTAAATGTTCTTAAAACAAAAGAAATCCATGCAGCGTAGGTCTTTTTGCCCCTGGTAAAACAAAACAAAACAAAACAAAACAAAACAAACAAACAAACAAAAAACCCCCCGCATTGGGGGGGGGGGGGATGTGAGTGTGCGCATGTGCGCACGTGGCTCCAGACATTTGTGCTCAGAACTTAAAACAGTACTTTCCAGGCAGGCCTTCTGGCCTGACTTCTGAGCTTGGTGAAAGCTGGTGAGTGAGAGAGCGCTTTGTGGAGTGTGAACCGCAGACAATGGTCTGCATTTCCCTAGATATCACAAGAAATTTATCAGAAGGTTCCAAGACAAACCTTGTTAATCTCCGAGCAGGTGTACCAGGATTCAGGTGTAAACATTTCCTCCCACATGCTATTCCAGGTACTGGAAATGTAGCATAAAAGTAGCCAGCCAGCTATGACGGAGCCTGTAGTCTAGCAGTACATAAGCCAAAGGAAGACACAGAAAAATATTGAAATTTTTAACAATATGGAATGATGCTAAAACCACAGACATTCTTGGGATTCTTTCAACTTATCTTACTATATTACTTTGTGAGGATGGAATGTGTTCTTGAAATACAAAATGTCATAGATTACAGATACACACACGTTTGTGTGTGTGTGTGTGTGTGTGTGTGTGTGTGTGTGTAAAGGGTTTTGGAGATGCAAAGTCGCTTCAGATTCCAAGTCCTGTTGTTATCTGAACCCACTCAACTGGTTTTTTAAGTATATGCTCTTCCTTCTCTTAGCTTACAAACTTCAATAGAAACACAGAGTAAGTGGTAGAACATCAGAGGCAAACTTTATGAGCAGGACCTGTGATTTGAAACCTTGGAGTATGTGTGCATGATATGTGTGTACCTCATACATCAGCAGGATACGAGGATGTTGGATAGCATAGCCAGGGTCAAAGACAGGACAGCTTGAGAAGTTAATAGGCTCTATCTGTTAGCAAACTAAAATGATCTAATTACATGTGAATATTTACTACTTACTGTTAATAGTCAAGAACCTTTTATGCATTTTGTTATGAAGTATTATATCTAGAGTGTATTTTGACTCCACTTTATTTTCTAACCACATTTTTTTGCTTAGAATATGCAGTGGAAATGGGCTCTAGCTATTTGTCAACAATATATAAGAGAGAATGGACACTTATCATGCGTTACTATTTCCTGTCTTACCTGGTTGACATAGTGTCATATATTTCATATGTGAAATTTTATTTTAGCAGGCCTCCCCAAAATAAGAATAATAAGATGGCATTTCAGGTAATGCTGCCGGCTAGTGAAGGAACTGCTGTTTGGAAAGAAAAAAATTGTCTAAATTCTAGATTTATGTCTCTGTCAATAACCTTCCATTTGACAGCTTTGGCATACAATTCCCTTTCAGTGAATTTGACTTATTTCCACTGTGTTTAAATATTTTTATCTTATCAGTGTCGGATCCATTGGTCCCTGATTTACACATCTTTCTTTGTTATTGCAATAATATCGATTCATTTCTTGTTTTTGAGTTCTGGGCTGCTACCACCAAGCTCATGAGTATGGTTGGTAGCCAATGTGCTGGTTTGAATGAGCATTTTCCATAGTCTCAGGCATTCACATACTTAGTTCCCAGTTGGTGGCTGTTTGGGAAGTTTTAAGAAGTGTGACCTTGCTAGAGGAACTATGCTACTAGGGTCTGGCTTTAAAGTTTCAAAAGCTATGTACTCTTCCCAATGCATTTTTTCCGGCTTCCTGCTTGCATTTCAAAATATAAGCCCTCAGCTCTGAGCTCTCAGCTGCTGCCTCAGTGTCTGCTCCCTGCTAACCTGGCCATTATGGAACTAATCCTCTGTAAGCATATTCCTCAAATAAACTTTCTTCTGCAAGTTGCCTTGGCCATAGTGTTTTATTACAGCAATAGAATAGCAACAAAGATAGCCAGGCAATCAATACAGCGCCATTCCATTACGCACACAGGTGTTCCTTAAGAATTCTTGCTCTAATTACTATATTAATCAGCTGTTAGACAATGAAATTTGCAGATAAATGGATGAACTTAGGAAAAGTCATCCTGAGGAAGATAACCCAGACCCAGAAAAGCAAATGTAGTATGTATTCATTTACATGTGTATGTTAGCTGTTGTTATTGATAAGCAAGCTACAATTTTTATAACCACAGAGGTTATGCATAGAGCAAGAACTATATGGGAGAGATGGATCTCCCTAAGAAGGAAAAATAGACTAGATAGTTATGGGTTGGCAGACAGAGATAAGGAGGAAAAAAAGGGTGAGGGAGGGAACATTGGGATAGGAGGCTAAAACTAAGGGCCATTTGAGGAGTCATCTGGAAACCTACTACAATTAAAGATTATATATATATATATATATATATATATATATATATATATATATATATGAAGGCAAGCTAAATAAAATAAACAAACAGCAGGGAGACATAGCCCCAGCTTAACATCCCTTGTCACCAAATGAAGCTTCCAGTGCCAGGAATGGATTGCATCTAATCTAGTTATATGTCAAAGGGGTTCCATGAGAAGCAACCCCCCCTCCCAAATCTAGGCTATTGCCAAGGCTATTGACTGCTCTCCACAAACTGATAGTAAGACCTTCTTGCTGAAGACAGCACCTACACAACTCACTGAACATGGAGAAGTTGTGCTGGTGTCTACATAGAGCCACTATCTCTATGGACTACTGTTCAGGCCATAGTGCTGGAAATTGCCCCACCAAAGGAGAAACACCAATTTGTTATTATATCTTAGAGGCTTGTTTGTTTCATGAGAGACAGAATAGAAAAGAGTGTGGATCTGGATGGGAGGGGAAGGGGAAGGAACTGGGATGCGATGAGACAGGGAAACCATAATCAGAATATATTGTTTCAAAAGCCCTATTTTCAATAAAAGGAAAAGTAGTGTTTGCTCTATAACAGTCTCTCCACCTGTGCTAATATTAGGTTCTTAAACATAAACTTTGCATGTTCTTTGAATCTTCTATTTCCCCTTATGTTCAGCCAGTTTTGCAGTCTCAGTTTTATCTAACACAATTAAATACTCTCATCCAAGAATTTCAACACTTACATGTACTTTTTTTTCTTCTTCCATGTGGACACTTCTTGGTCTGCCTAAGACTTAGTATTTGTATTTTTACTGCTTTTCCCTGCAGCCATCTTTCTCTCCTCAACACTTCATTCCTTGCTGTCCTTTCTCTTTAGTTTTGGAAAGTATCTAACAATTTTTACTCAAGTAGAAACTTACTGAACAACTCCTATTAACAATTAATTTCATTGCTCTTCTTTTGTCCTTAGGTAAATTTCTTTATGTTTCCGCTTACATTGCCTCACTGTAAATATTTAGTACTTGATACTCTTTGACAATGCACTTTCCTACAAAGCATTTGCATACTCAAACCACTGGTATGACTTTCTTTATGTTCCTACAGCATTAAGCCTGACATTTGAATTAATTTCTTCATGACAAACCACCATGAACCAAGTGTTTTAAAATAACAACAACAACAATAACAAAAAATGTATTCTTTCACAGTCTGCTAGGCTGAAGTCTGAAATCAAATAGTGGTTAAGACCCGGGTTGTCTCCCTGTGGAGAATCTACTGCATGCCTGTCTCTGAGCTCCTTTGCACAGTCTTTGGTGTTTGGAGCTCAAAGGAGGATTTCCTCAGACTTTAGTTCTGCCATTGCATACTGTTACATAAACTCCTTCCAATAAGCTTGGACTCTGGGAAAGTCTATGCCTACATCTGCATATCTTCTTCATTTACCAGGCATCTATCTCTCTCTTTTAGTTTTCTTTGAGAAACCCACACCTACACTCCCAGATGTAATTTTATTCTTTCCTTATCTCTCTTCTGCTCTGAATCAAAATTTAAGAAAAATGTCCAAATTTTCCCCTTTCTTATAAAGACATAAATTTCTTTGAGTAAGGCCAATCTTTGAACTCTTATATCTCATATGATCTATTTTTCTGCAAAAGCTTAAAGAATTCGGCAGTACTGGTTTTTGGGGGGTGGGGATAGGGGCTTAATTCTGTCTATAATAGTCTTCTATTAATTCCCCTCAAATTAATGCCCTTTACTTGGGCAAAATAGTCTCATCCAAGCATTCTTCAAATTCTCACCCAATCCAGTATCAACATTAAGTATAAAATATTGTTTCAATAGCAGTTCAAAGGTCCCCATGCTTCATTGTCTAAATTGGGCATGTATGAGAATGAATACAGGTTTCTCAAGTGGCCCAAATCTTCTTCATTCACAGGTCTTTGAAACTGTAATACATCCTATATCCTTCTCTAAAATGGAATGGTAAAGTGGGCATAGGGTAAGCATATTCCCGTTTCAA